GTCCAGCTTTGCCCTCAAAGATTATCATAGGCGATATCCAGCTCCCGTCAGCACAAATACAGTCTAAAGTTGTTATCCACTCCCTGCTGCCGTCTCTAACAGCTGCTCGAACTTTCTTTTCATCCCAAAGTCTCTTGGAGAACACCCTTTTGGTCCTTGAAGTGACACCAAGGAGAAAGCCCTTTTCGTCCATATTATAGATATTTTGCGGCTGGATATCGTATTTCTCGATATAATCGTGAAGTAGACGGAAGTAATTATAGTAATCTTTAAAATCGTCAGCTTTTTTGCAGTTTTGGTCGATGCCGGCGGTGTTTCTGGTGATAATTTTCTCTCTGTTCCGCCGAAGAAATCTTGTAACCCAGCTGTTAGATGGCTGTCTTTTTGCAATATTGGCAACATATTTTTTAATCATCTCTTGGGACGGTGGAGTACTACGCTTAGAGAGTTTTTCTATGTGCTGGACAAGGTATTTCTCTTGTTGTGGTGAGAGTAGTCGTCGTGGGTGTGCAGCGGCTGCACGCGACCGCGTTTTGTTTTGGTGGCGACGCGTTAAAGTTGATGCCGCAACACCATATATTTTTGCAGCTGTACGGTACGAGATTTGTCCTTCTAGACCTTGCGAATTGATTGCCGCAAGCGCTGTTTCGATAGCTGTCATGGTGGTGGAGTTGTGGGGATTTGAAATTGGTGGGTTCTACTTTGGGAGATGCAGGGGGTGTTGCATTGTCTGACCCGTTGCACGCATTGACCACCCACACTACGGGCTTGGCCTTTCTCGCGCTGTCCCACATCAGATGAAGCAACGCTGACGGTCCAACACGGCTTCCAAGGCACGGCTGCAGCTTTTCCACCTGTCGCATCACCACCGCCGCCTTGCACACACGAGCTGCGGGGGGCCCAACCTCTCCATTCACCCTGGCACCAGGCACATACAGCGCCATGCTTGTTTATATCCATCTTGGCCCCATTCCTTCGCCCACACCTACGACGGATTGCATCCTTGTGCACAACCATGTGGCGGCCGTAAACGCATATGGCACGAGCAATATATTTCAAAATCCCGATCCTGCCTCCCACCTTATTCCGACATTAGCAAAGCTGGGCATCCAATCGCGGCGATATGAACCCCACGCCACCGGGCCACGACATGATGGCCATGCACGGGGGGGGGGCTCGAGGATTTGCCGGCTGGCCACCCGCGCCACTGCAACTTTGAACTGCAACATCCGGACACCTGGGTCATTCGACAGAGCGTACAGGTTAAAGAGACGCTTTTGACAGCCTTCTCGTGCAGAAGAGGCGCTTGTTCGGCCAAGTTTAACCTGTGTTCGGTGCATAACCACCCGGTCATTGGAGCAATACGACCAATTTAACCGGCGCCAAGCTATGCAAGCCCAACCCGCCGAGACGCTTACCCAATATAAGATGCCGCTTCGGTATTACGGTCACGCTCTCCGCCTTAGCCAAACAACCTCGCGGAGCATCTGGGGTAAAGAGCCGGGGTAATGGGTGTTGGTTGTGCCCGCAGGTAGTATAAAGCATGTCAATCCCCAAGCTGCTCGAAATGGACACCCATCACCCATCACTTTGTTGCCCTCAGAACCGCGACCATGGCGATCCCAAAGCCTCAGGAGGCAACTGGCGGCGAACCCCTCATCACCCGCATGGTGGAGGAGGATAAGGTGCGATGGTGGAACAAGAAGAACCTCAGGATCATGTATCTGTGGCTCTTCTGCTGCTGCATGGGCGTCGAGATCACGTCTGGCTTCGACTCTCAGCTCATCGGCACGCTTCAGTTTTCCACCCCTTTCAACACTTGTATGTCCAGTCCAATGTGCGGCCCCTGCTTTTGACCCCTGCTAAGAGACATAGACTTTGGCGATGGCTACAAGGACAAGGATAATAAGCCTTCCATCAACCCGAATATTATTGGTTTCATGTCTGCCTGCTACCAGCTTGGTTCCATCCTCGCTGTTCCTGTCTCCCCATGGCTGAACCAGCGCTATGGCAGACGCATGTCCATCTTTGTTGGTTCTATCATCATGGTCACGGGCGCCATCCTGCAAGGATTTGCCCAGCATGGTGAGTTTTTACCGAGTGCCTGTCACCAGATGTTGCTTACAAGTCATTAGTCGGCATGTACATCATTGCACGTATGCTGCTTGGGTTCGGTATCCTGTTTGCTATTGTCTCCGGATCTGCCCTGATTGGAGAGCTCGCATACCCCAAGGAACGTCCATTCATGACTTCGCTGTTCAATGCCTCGTACTTTATCGGTTCCATTACGGCCGCTGCGATCGCCATCAAGACAACCACCATAAAGGGAAACTGGGGATGGCGAATCCCTTCACTCCTCCAGATCTGCCCTTCGTTCTTGCAGCTCGCCACTGTCTGGTATAAATGCCGTACCGAGTGAATAAAGCACGTGCTGACATGTCCAGGTTGCTTCCCGAGAGCCCTCGTTGGCTAATCAGTCGTGACCGTGACGAGGAAGCCCTTGCCATTTTGGTCAAGTACCATGCCGAAGGCGATGCCAACTCGGAGCTTGTCCACGCTGAAATGGCACAAATCCGCTCCACCATCAGGCTTGAAATGGAGAACTCGAGCCAGTCATGGTTGGACATGGTCAGAACCCCTGGTATGCGTCGCCGTGTGCTCATTGCCGTTTTCCTCGGTCTGTTTACACAGATGAGTGGCAACACGTTGCTCTCCTACTACCAAAAACTGCTCTTCGAGTTGATGGGCTTCACCGATGATCACACCAAGACCCGCATCAACATGGCCAACCAGTGCTGGAGTCTTCTTAACGCCGTAATCATTGCCCTCGTTGTCACCCGCTTCCGCCGCCGATGGATGTTCATGCTTTCGGCCGGATCCATGACCATGGTTTTCATGGCCATTACCATTTGCTTCCAGCGCCTCCAACTCGCCAAGAAGCACGGTACCACAAACTCACCGGCTCAGGTCGCAGCGCTGTTCTTCTACTTTGCCTACTCGCCTTGCTACAACATCGGAAACAACTCGCTCACCTACACGTACCTTGTCGAAATCTTCCCCTACGCCCAGCGTACCATGGGTATCGGTATCGAGCAAATCTTTGGAAAGCTGGCTGGCTTCTTCTCCATCTACGTCAACCCCATTGCTCTTACCGCCATTGAGTGGAAATACTTTGCCATTTACTGCGGATGGATCACATTCGAATTCACCTTTGTATACTTTGTGTACCCCGAGACATACAACCGTACTCTCGAAGAATTGGCATTCTGTAAGTCAATGGCTGCGCTTTTACTTTTCCCAAAACACCATTTGCTAACTTTGTCTGTCCAGTGTTCGAAGATGACCTTGCCGATGAGGCGACCAGGGCGACGGAGAAGTCTGTCCAGGGCCATGAGACTATGGACCATGGCAAGATGGGAACAACAACTATTGAGCGCGCTGCTTAGACGGGCTTATGATGGAATGCCACTCTTTACGATTGCTAGCTTGCATGTAACCAAGCCGATACAGGAATGATATCACTATGAGCACTGTGAACTCCCGATTATCGAAAGATGACAATCAGTGCTTGGTGAATTTCATGAGTGACAACAGCCTATTTGGAACAGCCATTGTTCACGGCATTGTCTGAGACATGTATTGTGGCCCCTAGACATTCCCCGATAAACCAGGATTGCGATAAAGCGTTATGCCCTTGAAAAGAAACATTGTTAACAGTACAGGATGTGAAAGCCTAAATAGCCCAATTTCATCCACTTCTTTCGCGTTAGGTGTACTATAGGTTGATGGATTCGTGTGTTCATGCTTCGAGATGGAAACTGTACACAGCATGTCTGAACAGCAGAGGTTAGCGTTCACATCTTCCCGTGTTCCACAAGAGACGGCAGAAGACGGCGAAAGAAACGAGCATCCAGACAGTGCCAGCTCTATCCAACCCGTGGAAACAAACATGACACAAGAACAGGAGATGACCCAATTGAAAAAGACGCAGCAGTATCTTGAAGAGCGATGCAACTTTCTAACCCAAGAAGCGTACTTCTGGAAAGACCGAACCGAACAGGAAAAGCTCAAAGCCGCAAACTACGTCGGCTCTCTGACGAGCCAGCGCCTCGATCTCAAGAATAAAATGAGGGAGTTACAAGAGCAAGCTGACCAGGAGGTACGAGAAGTGAGAGTGGAACTGGAGAAGGAGAAGGCGAAGCAAAAGGATCTGGAGAATACATACCGGGCAGATGTCCAGCAAAAGGGAAAAATGGCTGCAGAAAAAGAGGCAGAGATTGAGAAACTGAAGAGTGAAGTCACGACTCTGACGAGTGATTTGAAAGACGCTCGTGCGAGTAAATCAACACAACGCAATAACACAGCGACACGCCCTGGCACCGCGGCACCAATGGGGATCCGCGCCAAAGACGAACGCATCAAGCAGCTGGAAACCGAGACTGCGCGACTGGAAAAACTGCAAAAGACGCACAGACAGGATATCGCACAGGCAAGGGAGCTGCAGCGAGCAGCAGAAACCCAAGTCGTTGCGCTGCGCCACTTTGAAAGTGCGAGTAAGAAACTGGTCAAGAAACACGCTGATGATGCAAAGTGCATCGTCGAGCTGGCTCACGAGCTGGAGAGGTACAGAGTGAGGATTCAGGAGATGCAGTGTGGTTCTGAGGGTAGGGATGAGGGCCAGATGGTAGGGGTGAAGACGCTTGTTCCTCCCCCGCCCCTGCAACTGGCTGCTGCTGTATCCAGCGTGTGCATTGCGCCTGTTTCAGGACGGGACTACAGCGCAGAGGTACGAGAGTTGGAGCAGCGATTGGGAATTCTGCAGGCGCATCACGAAAGGATTACGGATGAGAATGCGGAGCTGCGGTTTCGTTATCATAATATGGTGACGGAGTTGGGTTCCTGCAAGAATCATGTTGGAGCTCGGGATGGCGACAGCGAGGTGCTTGTTGCGGAGATGGAGCGGCGGAGCGGCGAGCTGGAATGTTGTGTCGAGCTTGTAAAGGAGAAAGATGACAAGGCTGGAGTGAAGGTGGGGATTGCAAAAGGGGAGTTGGCGAGGACGTTCCAGGCGAGAATCCAGCAGCTTGAGAAAGAACGGCAGCAGCATGGGAATCCGTTTGATAACGGTCTTGCCTTCTTTGAGAATATGCAAGATGCTGGAAAGCCGACGCCATCGCTTTCTACAACAAAGGTCCTAGATGTACCTGGTGAGAACGCACCAGTCTCTAACCCTGCATGCAGCGAGCGGAAGGAGTGGGTGGAAAAGCTGGAACATGTCGTTTTAGAGACTCTAGAGGAGGTTGCAGAGCTAAAGGAGCAGTGGAGAAATAGGCCGCTTTGTGCAGATCCAGAGCATGGCCGACTCAGAGAGGAGATGCGCATCGCCAAGGATAGGCGGTCTCAGGCGCGGAGTGAGCTGTTGGCTAAGTTGAGGAATAAAAGGGAGGGGTGATTTCTAGGCATTTATTTATGCTAGATTTCGGCCTTTGTATTATGTTCCGAGTAATTGTATTTTGATGGCTGACGGCTGTTTCACATGGTATTTGTGCACGTGGTGAGAGGAGGGCACGTGATGTGCGGGAGAGACTTGGACAGGGACATGAATATAACTAAAGACTGGCAGTCACAATAGACTCGAGACTTGGAGGCACGCAAAGCAAAAAAAATTAAAAAACATACAACAGCAAGGATTCGCCAGTGGTCACCCACCTGACTACTAATCTGCCGGTTACTAGCTTATGTATTGCCGAGCGGACGAGAGACACAAATTTCTAGTACCTATGGTCGTATGTGCCTAGATTACGGATTATGGTTATTCTTTTAAGTGACGTCATGGGAAATTCGCATTAACTGGTGAGGGGGTGCGTGTTGCAACCTGTCAGAGTGATGTCATGCCATCCGGAGGTCCGTGCATGCCCGTTCAGCTCATGCACATGTGCGGTTGCCTGGTGCATTCAACGCCTCCGAGGCATAACAATGCCACGTTTTCCGTATCCAGTCTTGAGTGACATGGGAAGATGTCCGAGCTGCTCTACCTATATGCTTGATGATACATGAAAGTGACGACATCCCGGCCAGTTCCTACCACAACCATCCTGCATTCTATAGCAGCAGCGGCCTATGCCCATTCAGCTATGACTTCAGCCCCTGCCTCGACTTCCAAAATCAGCTGTTCCAAATTCTACTTCGAGTGGAAAGGCCATGGCATCGACGACCTTGTCAAGTTCCGCGATATAACGCTTTCGGAGCGACCAGGCAAGCCCATCATCTATCTCGCGGGCGACTCTTCCCTGGACAACAAATATTGGGTAAACAGGAGTATTGGTGATAACCAAGAGCAGGTCCCGGAGATTTATCGCAAGGCACTCAAAGACCCTGTCGATCCCAAGCCTGATGTCGCGTATTGGACGAACCATTTTCTTGCGGATCGCGCTACATGCATCAACACGGCAGTCGAGGAGTCGATGCTACGCGAGCGTGACAACACGCTACTACCCCACGACGAGTTCATCCGCGACAACATCCGCGCCAACGACATTCTCATTGTCAGCGTCGGCGCAAACGACGTCGCCTTGAAGCCCAACACCTTGACAATCCGCCACATGCTAGAACTCGCCTGGCTCACGCCGCGAAGGTCTCTTGAAAACGGAACTGCGAACTCTCTCTCGTACTTCAAACACATGTTCGGCGCCCAGATTCAAGATTACATTTCTCGCCTTACAGCCAAGACTAAACCCCGTGCTGTGATTGCGTGCATGATTTACTTTCCCCTCGAGTCCGGGCTTGGCCAGACGAGTTGGGCGGATACGCAGCTCAAGGCTCTGGGCTACAATTCGTTTCCTGGACAGCTGCAGGCGGCCATACGTGCAATGTATGAAATTGCAACAAAGAAGATACGAATCGAGGGGACGCACGTGGTGCCGTGTGCGCTGTTTGAGGTGCTGAATGGGAAAGACGCGGGTGATTATACCGCGAGGGTGGAGCCGAATGCAGCGGGTGGGAAGAAGATGGCTGAGCAGTTTGTGAAGTTTGTTGATGGAATCCTTGGGGATGGCAATGCGTCGTAAGTGTGGATGTTGAGGTGAGGTTGGAAGAGAGTTGTGATTACTCACATGTCTAATCAAATTCGGCAATGGATTTTCCAAAAGAAGAAAAAGTATAGCAAGGGGCTAGATGTCAAGGATGATTATATAAACATTCGAGTATGGATCGGCAACTGACGCATTTGAATATTTCAAGTCCCTACAAGTATTCACAAGTATTGCTTAATGAAGTCCATGGGCTGGAAGAGACCAGAACGGACCAAGTATAATATTCAACATCATATTTACCGTAATCAGATATAAGCACTTGTACAGCGCTCAGGACTTGTTAGCTGCGACAGCGGACAGATACGTGTCGTGTTGTTATATCAGTGACGCTAACACGAAAAAATAATGGGAAAATCTGGAAAGCCCTCTCATTTGAAGAAGAGTACAAGAGTGGCGTTCAAAGTTGGAAAAAAGGTACACGCATGTATCCTTGCCGGCTTCCTATACCAGATTCCGCTGCTACTAGTACAGCACCAGAGCCGTACCGAATATTTCTAAATGTGTTGCTACACAAGAGTGAATTCCGTGCTTATAGGACCGAATATGGAGCGAGGACACGATTGGGCGGCTGCAAACGCGTAAGAGTCCTTCCGGCCGTCTGACACAAGGATCTCGCTCCGTACCCGCAAGTGACCGAGCGGCTGAATTCTATTTCACCAGCAACGTATGCAATTGGTTCTTAGATCCTGGACCGCTTTCTATGGCTAACGTTGGCGAAGACTGCACACCGGAATCAATGTAATAATGGACGGATAAATCGATAGTATGGAGAAGATGGCTAAATGAATGGTTAGATGGAACATTGGTCATGTGTAGCTTACCATCTCATGGTAGCTCTGTGAACCCGCATGTGCATATCATGGATTGAGACTCGCTGTATGCAAATAATTGACGTTGCGTAGTAGTAGGTAGCTGTATAAGGAAATGGCAATGGTGTGTAGAAAGAAATTGAGCCATGTATAGTAACCAAGTAAGAACATGCAAAAACATAGACAATCAGTATCTCCTATCAAGGCCCGGTTGGAGAGTCCCAATTATGTCTCTGAGAAGGCTCCATTGCTTTCTTGCCGCACGAACGTGATTGTGTTTTTGCTGAAAAAGTAACGTCGGGGCGGGAAAAGACGAGCGGTAGATTGTGCCAGGGCCCTGCGTGAGGAGTACTTCGTCGCCGGACGATATAGTCTCTCCGAGCGCAACAAGGCGGGTGCAGGACCGAGAAATAGCCAGTTGTCCAACGAATTCATAGACACGAGAAGTGGAGGCCGGGAGAGATGGGGATGAGCTAGATAAGGACGTGGATACCCCGCTAGCGCGAGGACGGTGCCTTGGCGTCCCTTACACGATCCAGGGCAACATGCCGCACCACGACGTCGAGGAACATCCCATCGACGGCTCCCAAGATGGGATTACCCAGGAATTCGGAATCCACCTTCCTTTCTGATGGAGCTGTGCCCCCGACAATCATGCTGGCCCAGCGCGAGGCGTCCACTTGAGACCCTGTTTATCCGGGTGGCCGGGCTTTTGGGATTCTTGGCAAGGACCAGCGCGCCTTGGGATGCTTAACACCTGCTCGATATGGCAGCAGGGGAGCGGATATCATTTGGGCCAATTTGCGCCTCAAAAGTACATAAGGAACCAAAGGCTCCAGAGGCCACGGCACGGTCGATCTGGCGCATTCGTCTCGTCTCTTGCACGCCACGTCGTTTGGGCTACCAAGTAGTGCGAAGACGTCATCCGTGCACCCGACCCTCACCCACCTTCTCTATTGACGGGCTCTCCATCCTGGCATTGCACGCAATATCGCCATGCGCTCTCTGTTGCTCCTCGCAGCGGCGTTGCCGTTGACACAGGCAATAGAGCCTCCACGCGTGCCGCATCAGCCTCTCGGCAATGGTACCAAGCGCCTGACGTACAACGAAACCACCGACAGACCCTCCTTTGGTGCTTCGTCCCGTACATTCAACTGGGTGGGAACTGGAGAAGATGGCGACTACATCTACACGTCTGCTTCTGGAGATCTCGTCTTCGAGAACGTCGCCACAGGCAAATCATCGACATTCATCTCCGCGGATAAGATCCCAGAGGACTACTGGGACTACTTCATCTCGCCAGACGCCAGCAAGGTCATATGGGCGGTCAACTACACCAAGCAGTACCGCCATTCCTACTTTGCCGACTATCTGATCATGGATGTCGCGAGCGGCGAGTCTGTGCCCCTCGACCCCGAGCAAGTGGGTGATATCCAGTATGCCGAATGGAGCCCCGTATCTTCATCCCAGGTTGCATTCGTCAAAGGCAACAACCTGTATATGAGCACAAACGGCACCATCTCTCAGATCACCAAGGATGGCGGCCCAGACTACTTCAACGCTGTTCCCGACTGGGTTTACGAGGAGGAGATCTTTGGCGACCGCTACACGCTCTGGTTCTCTCCCGATGGCAGCAGAGTTGCTTTCCTCAGCTTCAACGAGACGGGCGTTGGCACATTCAGGATTCCCTACTACATCGACGATAACTCTGAATTCGTGCCCGTATACCCCAACGAGCTCGAGCTGCGCTACCCCAAGGTCGGCACCAAGAACCCCACTGTCGTCATGAACATGCTCGATGTGGCATCCGGAAAAGTCAGCAACATCCCAATTGATGCCTTCCCCGAGGATGACCTTGTCATTGGTGAAGTCGTCTGGCTTACCGAAGAGCACAGCACAGTTCTTTACCGTGCTTACAACCGTGTCCAAGACATGGAGAAGCTGGTCACTGTTGATGTCGAGGCTGGCTCATCCAAGGTTACCCGCGAGCGTGACGGCACTGATGGATGGCTTGAGAACCTGATGCAAATCCGCTACATCGGTGCTCTAAAGGCTGGAAACGCCTCTTTCAGTAACTCCTCGGAGTACTACATGGATATTTCTGACATGAGCGGTTGGGCACACATTTACCTATTCCCAGTCCACGGCGGTGAGCCGATTGCGCTGACTTCAGGTGAATGGGAGGTCCTCTCCATCCTCAAGGTCGACTACGCCCGTGGCATAATCTACTACACGTCCACCGAGCACCACAGTACCGAGTCCCATGTGTACTCTGTCACCTTCAGTGGCAAGAAGACTGCACTTGTAGACGACAAGGAGGCTGCCTTCTGGACTGGCTCCTTCTCGTCTCGCGGTTCCTACTATGTCCTCCGCTACGCTGGCCCTGACGTCCCATACCAGGAATTGTACTCGCTCAACTCAAGCGAGCCCATCCGAACCATTGTCAACAACTCGGCTCTGTACAACAAGCTTCAGGAGTACAACCTGCCCAACATCACCTACCTCGATATGGAGCACCCTTCAGGCTACACACTCGACGCAATGCTCCGTCTCCCACCAAACTTTGACCCAAGCAAGAAGTACCCTCTCATCCTTCTTCCATACGGCGGTCCCAACGCCAAGGAGGTGTCCAAGTCGTTCAACGCGCTCAACTGGAAAGCATACATTGCGTCTGACCCTGAGCTCGAGTATGTCACTCTCACCGTCGACAACCGTGGCACCGGCCGCAAAGGCCGTAAGTTCCGCTCCACAGTAGCATCCAATCTCGGTCAACTTGAAGCCGAAGACCAGATCTGGGCGGCCAAGGAACTCGCCAAAAACCCATGGATCGACAGCGAGCACATTGGCATCTGGGGCTGGTCCTACGGCGGCTACCTCTCCTCCAAGGTAGTTGAAGTGGGCGACCCCATCATCAGCTACGCCATGATCACCGCTCCCGTCAGCGACTGGCGCTTCTACGACAGCCTGTACACGGAGCGCTACATGAAGACGCCAGACCTCAACCCGGACGGCTACAACCGCAGCCGCGTGCACGACGCCACAGGCTTCAAGAAGATTGCCGGCGGCGTCGTCATCCAGCACGGCACGGGCGACGACAACGTCCACTTCCAGAACGCAGCCGCCCTCGTCGACCTGCTCATGGTCAACCAAGTCAGCCCCGAGAAGATGCAAAACACCTACTTTACCGACTCGGACCACAGCATCAATTTCCACAATAACGGCAAGTTCCTGTACAAGCAGCTCAGCAAGAAGCTGTTTGAAGAAAAGAACAGAGACGGCGATAGTAAGGGTGCGCATCAGTGGAGTCGGAGGGGGCTTGCTAAGAAGTGGTTTTCTTGAGTGTGAGTGGTTGACTGATTGATTGATTGATGTGCTTGTGGAAAAAAGATGGTTGGAAATGCGGAATTAGTAGTAATGCATTGGTAATGATATTATTTCCATGAGCAAATGCTTGTATGTCAGTGAGATGGCTGTGGCGACAGTGTTTTTTTTTAATCCTTCAGCAAGTACATGACATGTCTTGACTTTGATGTGGTTCTCCAATCACAATCATGTCTCTCTATGTGGACTTGGATCGAAAGGCGGGAAGATACAAGCCGTGAAAAGAAAAGCTATTTGGATTTCTCTCGGTTGCTTCATACAACGCTTTCATGGCTGTTCCACACTTCTATGTGCCCATTCAAGCCAGTTCTGACTCGATAATTGTATAATATGATGGATATTATATCATCTTCTTGATTCAATGACGCGTTTATCCAGAGCAACGCGTAGAGTCCATGTCCTGCACCATATGTACAGTTCACAAACCCTCATGTTTCATCCCATACACGAGGCATTTGCCATCCTATCTCCAGACCCAAATGGATTTGCCTCCTTGATGACAAGGACACACTCGGTTGCATTCTCCCTGTATTCATACACCGCAGCCCATGGATCGCCAGTCCCATACCGCAAATCGGGATCGCTCATCGTCACACACTATCGATCAAGCGTACTCTCCACAATCTCAAACTCTACTCGCAACATCTCTAATCATCTCCCCAGCCTTGGTTTCATAGTCATCGACATCCGGGTTTACAGTCCAGTACTCGAGGTTGCGGATGAGCTGGTAAAAAGCCGTTGTGAGGAGGGCGCCGAGCGCGGGACCCAGCCAGTAGATCCAGTGGTACGACGGGAAGGAACCGAGGACGACGCAGACGCCAAAGGCGCGCCCGTGTATGTGGTTGCTCTAAGGGGATGTTCATAAGAGCGAAGCGATGCGATGCGTGGAAGGAAGTAGGGAGGGCTGAATATAATCAGAGTTCAAGCTTACACTAGGATACAAGCAAATACCGCCAAGCCGATTCCAATGGGCGCGATAAAAGTGGCTTTGTTTTTCTCGGTCGCGAGCATGAAGACGGAAATGACGACTTGCGAGGTGATGAACATTTCGATGAAGAGGCCCTGTGTAATGGTTGTCGAGGAGCCCAGTTCCACGGTCGCTAGGGAACCCGGCGGCAGCAATCCGTATGCGATTGCACTGGCTAGGATCGCCCCGGCCATCTGACTGAACATGTCGAGGAAGCCGTCGATTGGCGGTACCGCCCGTACAATCATCATGGCCATGGTGACGGCCGGGTTGAACAAGCCACCGCTAATGCGGAAAAACGTCGACGCGTTCACGGTGATGGACGCGCCACAGGAAACTGCTATTACAAGCACTTTGTCAGGATCCGCAGACGTCTTGCCACCCTCGTACTGCAATTCTACAGCGGTATCGTTGGTAATGGTGGAGTTACCGCCTAGACCGATGAGCATGAATAGAAAGGTGCCTACGAACTCTGAGAGCATGGAGATCAAGCGGGTGCTGATGGGGAGTGGGAGTTTCTCGCGGAACTGGTCGAGGAGGTGAACATGGCCTTTGCTCGTGGTTAGAGAAAAATCTCTATTACCCTGGGAATTGTGCACGGGAAGGACGGGCAGTTTTACTCCACGTATTCTGCGGCGCCAATTTGGGATCTGGGGTTGATGGTCACGGTTCTCGGGTTCGTGCTGGTCGGTTGCGCTCGAGGATGGCATTGTATATCTGGTTGAGAATCAATAGACAGGTATTTCCACAAGATTGAAGGACTGGCGAGATCACTGAAAGCGACGAGGTATCGCGATGAGTAGGCCATGAACTGGCCATTGGAGATGTTGAATTGAATAATGCAGAGGGCAAGAAAGTCTCCTGGACGGAAGCGCGTGGGGCCAGCAGTAATCCGAGTCGCCATTTTGTCGTCACACAGCAGTACATCGCTCAGAAAAGCAACTGAGATTACCCAGTATGTTTTTAGAAAACAACTATGCTCTTTTGCGTGGTGGAATCCGGAGCTCCGTGGCGCTGTTAGGGTGTGACCTCATCCTTACTCATGGCGACCTCGGCAGCCGTCGATCATCGAGGCTGTAATCAACACCAAAGGCTGAAATTACTGGATTCAGACGAATACGCATGATCGAGATTGCTGTCGACATCGAAGGCTTGCGGTACCTGTACGTCGAGTGGAATTTCCTAGGCCCACAAGGGCACACATACTGGGCTCTGAGCCACTTTGCATGCCTCTACCCAGCATCTGCCTCGTATGGCCTGAAGCCGAGGATTTCAACAGAGTGAGATTGAGATTGAGTCTTGATGATGCAACAGGACGTGTGGTATTCCAGTCGAAGCATGTCGCTCGGAAGATGGGGTGTTGGTCAATCGAGGCTGTAAAGGCGAATAATCAGCCATTTTCTAGCGGCGAAAGAATAATCTCCAGTGTCTACTCCGTGTAAGATGCGAGGCTTTAAAGCAAGCAGAAAGGCGCGGATGAGCGGCACTGAATCTCCTCGGAGCTCAGCAACCCCTGCAGCTGAAACGTGCGAGTGGCTGATGTGTGTGGCTGTCGCAGACCGTACGATTCCGTGATAAGGACACTGTATAAAATGAGGGTGATAAGCACTAAGTCGGAAGAATTGCAGGCTTATGCGCGAACCCCTGCACCGACAATGTCAACGTGTCGAGGGACTCAAATAAAAGACAACAACTCGCTGTTCTCACCAGACAGCCATGCGGAGGAAGTGGGCGCTGATTGGCCAGACGCACGGACTCTTCCAAAGTCGAGCTCCCTCGTCAGTTGGCAGCACATTGTCTTCTTGTGCAACGCCCGAGAACGCGCATACGTGCTTTTCTACCGCAAGCTGGACAATCCCAACGAGCCTCAAGTCAGCGTGTGCTTCCGCCAGACACGGCTCGTAAATCAGCGCACCGGACGGCCAAACGACTCGTTGTATTCCGCCGCTCGGAACAGCAGCTGCAGCACCTGATTGCGGGCTCTTCGTATAGCTTCCTCGCACCTGACTGGAGCGAGAGGACGCCCCGAGACGTAGCTGGTGCCAAGGCTCCAGAGCAGTCCTCAGACTCTACACTGACCCGTGTGTCTCGGTACACCAGCTTTTCGAGTCCTCACAATGGCACTCAACGCCTACCTTAACAGTAAGTTCCCTTGCCAATGGAGACTGCGCTTCTGCCATGGTTTCCCATAATGCTCCATCCCCAGCAGCTTACACGGTTCCCCAGAGCGCGTATCCGTCCTCACGGTCGACGGCCGCACCATGGTCGGCACCCTGCACTCATGCGACGGCAGCATGAATCTCGTCCTCCAAGAAGCCATCGAGCGCATTATACGGCCAGTCGAAGAAGAGATTCCCAGTGAAGAAGTACCGCTGGGGCTCTACATTATCCGAGGCGATAGCGTGGCGGTTGTGGGACGTGTAGATGAAGAGATTGATAGCAAGATTGACTGGGGAAAGGTGCATGGAGAGGTGCTGGGTACCACGAAACATATCTGATGAGGGAGCTTTTGTGTGGGCTGGAAGAGCAAAGACAGCCAGAGGGAGGCGGAGGGAATGTTAGGGTTCTAGGATGGTTGTGACGGGAGAATGCGCAGGGCTTGGAGGAGCAGCAGCAGCAGCAAAGATACGGAGACGAATGCTGGAGCGGCGCGCGCAAAAGAAGTACTGGAATCTCCCGTTTGTTTGCATCTATGATGGCATGATACCCACGAGAAACAGCGACAAGAAAAAACGCTGAGTATGTCATTTTTTCTTCTTGCTTCAGACTCACTTTGCATGCCACTTTGCTGACCCCACAGAGGTCGAGAATGATTCTGTGATGATGATTGTACATTTTTATGCCATATATCCCTTTGCATAGCCATATTTGCATAAAGGAAACCCATGATGAAGAACCCGCGAATACCTGTGACCCATTACCTACTCCCATGCAATCCCACCTACTGAATACTCCTCCCCACGCCCTGTCCAATACCAACAATGTTCTTGTGATCGCTTGGATTCGCAGCAGCCTCGTACAGCACACTAACCGCCTCCTTATTCAGCTTCATAAAGTCGCCCTTGAAGGCGAGATAGCTGATGCGCGTTTCATCCTCGCCGCCCCAGTTGTCCTCGAAGAACAGGCCCAGACACCGTGTGGTGCCAAACTTTGCGCGCTTGACGCCAATCTCCTGGACCTCGCTCGTCTGGCTGATTTCCAGCACCTGCGTCGGCTCCTTCTCGCTGGCCGTCTCAAAGTCGAGCGCGTCTTCGTTGGCAAACACCTTGAGCGTCTTCGGACACGCCCCGCTGGGACTGGTCCGCAGAATGATGCTGTGCAGCCGCACTTGGCCTGTAAACGGAATCGTCATGAGCAGCTGCTCGTCGGCGCTCGACACAAGCTCTGGCTCCGGGTCGAGCCGCTGGGCCCATGTTTTCTGGCAAATGGCGCGGCCGCTGTTGGACTCGTCCTCGTTGAGCGTGATGACCTTGGGAAAGTCGATTTGTTCGTAGAGCATGTTTTGCAGCGCGGGTGTGATGTCATCGCTGTGGTCGTGCCCATCGCCGTGCGAGTGGTCGTGATGCTCGTCGTGGCAGTGTGAATGCGACATGTTTGGGTGTGTGATAAGTAGTGTCCTTGTATATGCAAGCTGTGGTTGGTGGGGGCGGGGTAGTTTGCACGGAGCTTTGGTAGCCGGATACTGTGCGGATGTGGTACAGCAGTGGCGGTGGAAGTTGGGTCAGGGTGGAGATGAGCTGGGCAATACGAGCTGTGGGTCTGGTAAAAGGGCCTTGACTTTGGATAGATGCAGGTCGAAGAAATCGGTGTCTAATGTATTGGAGGCAAACTCGTATATCGTTTGCCGACTACTCATGAATGCTCTATGCACGTGCTCAACATACGCATCCATCGGAGAGATCGCCTCAAAGCGACACTTGCGCATGCTGTCACGTTAGTAGACGTGTCGTTTCACCAAATGTTGAATGCAATGCTCAAAAAACCACCCAAACGCCGCGCTCTAATGCCATGCCGGTGCCCGTATAACGCCCTTCAAGCTAACATGGGCTGCGAAGCCTGTTCGGCAGCCCTTTCCCTCGCTCGCCGCGCTGCCCGATCCTTTGCCATCTTTGCCTTTTCCTCTGCTGTGAACTGCGGTTGTGCGAGAGGCGCGTCCGGGAGGACGGGAACAGTGCCGTTGACTTCTGCCTCGAGAGCTTCGAGCTCGTCCTCGACTTCATCCTCGTCTTGGTTGGACATTTTGTTCGCAAGCATCTCACTGATTTCCTATTACACGTGAATTAGTATATAAGCCGAAGAGGAGAGAGTCGGGTATCCGTACCTCTTGATAAGCTCGGGCCTCCTCGTTCTCACCCAGGAGCTTCTCCACATTTTCGATGCCACCCATTTCTTTATGTATTTCTTTCAGAACTGCCGTTCCTTGCTGCAGGCCATACAGAACATCCTTCTGCACCAGCGCAAACTCGATGTCGCTTGTCAGGACCTCCAGTTGCGCCAGCTGCGAATCCGTCTTGGATAAGAGGCTCTCTTGGTACTTCTTCCTCCTCAGCGCCAGCTTCGCACTCTTTGTGTCGCCTTTGGCTAAGCATTCTTTTGCAATCTCCTTTTCGCGACTGGTGAGAACGGTGATGCGCTTCTGGTACTGGCGCAGCTTATCGCGCTGGTTCTTCATGTCCAGGATCGCCCTGCACGGTTAGTTTTTGCTGGTGCCATATAAAAGAGTAACTAACTTGTCCTGGGCGGAGATCTTGTTGGCGCTATTCGAGTTTCCCATGTTGTCCACGTCTCCATGCGCGATGCAGGATGCGCATGCGACCCAGTGGTTGACTCGAGTCCCTTGATTGACGTATGCGACTTCCGGCGTAACTAGCGCGGCGCTAGTGTTATCGATAAGAGACTGCGATCTTTTTTTGTGCATGGCCGGCACGCTTGCTCCCATCATACACAAGTACAGTCGCGACCAATACATTGTTCGGTACGGTCGCTACCAGCACCACTGCTCACTCAGTGTGTGAGTCACAGTCTGCGAGGTTCATTGCGACCGCTACCGGCAAGTTGCTCTTCAGCAATCTTCTATAATCACCGCCATTATCCATATCCTCGACTCTCTTCTCAAGTCTTCAACAAACACCGTCACGCGCAACTAAGCATTCATCCTTGCACGAAATAAACCATGGTATCCAAAAATCGACCCAGTCTACAGGCTGGTCTCGATAAAGAGGTGTATCAAGTAGCGCGAAAATACTTGGATGAGACAAACGAATCGGCATTGAAACTGCGCATCTCAACGGTATACGACTACATCCAGAAGTCGAATTCGAGCCTCAAACGGCGACCAAAAAAGCAGTTGGAGGATTCCATTGAACGCGTAATCGATGTCATTCGCGAAGACGAGTCAGGTGACGAAGGGGACCAAGTGGTCGAGGTGGAGAGAGACTTTGCCACTGATGAGCCCAAGGACCGGTCGGCCGATTGGATGAATCGTCAAATCGTTAGTGGTTGGAGCACAAACACGGCGAATGGCGAAAAGACCAAGAAAAGGGATGGCGGAAAGTCAAAGGAAGAACGCGAGAGTAAGAGGCAGAAGAAGGCAGCAGCAGCGCAAGAAAACACAATCGACACCCAAGCACCTACCGGTGTACGCCTGGCTGACTTGGGGGGTATAGAAGGTGTCAGAAAGCAACTTAAGGAACATTTGGTTCTACCTCTTCTATGTCCAGAGGAGTATATCATGCGCAGGATCCCAATTCCACGCGGTATACTGCTCCACGGCCCACCAGGATGCGGCAAAACACTTGTGAGTCGGGCTTATGCTGCGGCGCTCGGTGTAGCATATATCGAAATACCTGCACCTTCGATTGTGTCCAGCTTGTCTGGAGATTCAGAGAAGCAAATTCGGGAGTACTTCGAAAAGGCCAAGGAAGTGGCTCCCTGTCTCATGCTCATTGATGAAATCGACGTGATTGCACCGAAGCGCGAAAGTACACAGAGCCAGATGGACAAGAGAATCGTAGCTCAGTTATTGATCTCTATGGATAGCCTGGCCATGGAAAACAACAATGGCAAACCCGTCATTGTGATGGCAACTACAAACCGTCCCAACAGTATTGACCCGGCACTTCGACGTGGAGGGCGCTTCGACACCGAGATCAACATGGGTGTGCCAGACGAGCAGACGCGAAAGCAAATACTCAAAACGCTCACCAAAGAGATCATTCTAGGGCCTGATGTTGATTTTGACCTATTGGCAAAACGGACCGCTGGCTACGTTGGTGCAGACTTGCAGGATCTTGTCGGTAAGGCGGGAACTTGGTCCATGAGTCAATACCGAGAGGCACTCGAAAGGCAAGCGGCGTCTATGAGAGAGGTTATGGATATCGATGGCCACTCAGTTCCTCAGGATGACGATCTTCTTATCGCCAGAGCTAAAGATAAGAACGCCCCGCGACCCGAAGGCTTTGAGAGTACGGCTCTCACTATGGAGGCTTTCGAAGCTGTCTTGCCAACAATCACGCCTTCATCGAAGCGCGAAGGGTTTACCACTGTACCCGATACCACGTGGGAAGATGTGGGTGCTCTTGGCCATGCCCGGGAGGAAATTGAGATGGCCATCTGCGTACCCATCAAAGAGCCAACGAGGTATTCCGACCTCGGCATCTCGGCGCCTACTGGAGTGTTGCTATGGGGTCCACCAGGTTGTGGTAAGACGCTGCTTGCAAAGGCCGCAGCTGCCGAATCATCAGCAAATTTCATCAGTGTCAAGGGATCAGACATTGTGAGCTCGGTGAGTCAAATTTTCAACATTCTGCTGGCTACATTGTTGGGTGTTGCTTCAGCAGACATATGCAAAAGTCCCTCTGAGTATCATACTCCTTCTGCCGCGAAGCCTGCTAACATGTCGACTACAGTACGTTGGAGAATCCGAACGCTCGCTCCGCACAGTCTTCGAACGGGCCCGCTGTTCAGTCCCATGTGTCATCTTCTTCGATGAGATTGATGCGCTCGTACCCAAACGGTCCAAAACACTGCATGAAGCCTCTTCCCGCCTTGTCAACACGTTCCTCGCCGAACTCGACGGACTCTCGGACCGCAAAGGCATCTACATCATCGCCGCGACCAACCGCCCTGACATGATTGACGAAGCCATGCTCCGACCCGGGCGCTTGGAGAAGCTTGTGTACGTGGGACTGCCCAAGCCAGAGGAGCGTGTGGACATTCTCAAAGCACTCATTCGCCAGCGCAAGGTCATCAGTCTCGATATTGCAGAGTTTGCGCGCCAGGACGCGTGCGCGGGCTACTCGGGAGCGGATCTAGCGAGCTTGCTGCGCAACGCAGGTTTGGTTGCGTTCAAGCGACAGGCCAGGTGTATCGAGGAGCAGGACATTGTCATGGCGGCCGACAGGGTGAAGCCGAGCGTGCGCGAGTTGGCCAAGTACGAGGCGTTGAGGAAGGAGTTTGAGAAGGATGTCTAGGACCTGAAAACAAGGAGGACTAATTAATGGGGTTATTATTGTTGTTTATTCTCGATGGTGAGTTTCCGAAACTGCAGGGGAAATGGTTTGCGTGGGCAGGTAGGTAGGTAGGGTATGCGTCCAAAGGTTATGTACTTACGGATGAGCTAAGTAAGCGGCTTGGAAGGTAGAAAGCCTATATCGGTATTAGATTCAGAACAAAAAAGTTCAGGCTTTTCCATCCTCTGGCATTCTTGCCCACGTCTCGATGCTGTTGCAACGCAGAAGCCAGGAGCCATGTTGACCCTGAAGACTTGAGCTTCTCCAGATGACGCGTGAGCCACGTTTCTCCACGTTTATCCCCCCTCCCTCACCCTGTTCCATGCCACCGGGAATGCCCATGACGCGCCAGCCAGCTAGCCCTCGCTCGTGGCGATTCAACCCGCGTCCTCACTAACGTGTGACTCGACTCGAGACCAACAGTCCAGCACAACCTCCCTTGGTATCATCCACCTCGCCCCCTTTCCATGTCCATTTCCATTCCCTCGCCATCAACTAGTGAAGACACGATTCATCCTTTCTTCGTTTCCCACTTTCCCGTGCTCGCTTGTATCATGTGCTCTGTCTCACGCGCGCTTGCAGGCATAGCGAGATAGACCCGTGTATGTATGTATGTATGTATGTATGTATGTATGTATGTATAGTTGTGTTTTCTCATTGTGGATAGACGCGATTCGACGGTTGGAGATGCGTGACGATGGAGAAGTAGGATCTGATATGCAGACGCGTATGGGTGGAGAGCTTGTGGTAGCTCTGTGTGTGGTAGGTATGTGTGTGTGTGTGTGTTTCGCGGCGTGATGCAGTGCAGTGCAGTGGAAGAGATATAGTGATTCAATCACGGTATCGAGATGGAGTTGCCATTGTCTAGATGGACGGGAGCTGGAGGATAGCCTGTTAAAGGGTGTGGTTGTTGGGGGGTAGGTCTGGCGTCGGGGGGGCGGGGCGGTGCGGTCGGTTGGGGATGAGGTAGGGAGGTTCGGACGAGAGTGTTGCGAAGGGCGGCGTCGAGGAGCATCATGGCGAGATGCAGAGATTGAAGAAGCCGTGTTAATCGAGATGAAGGAGATGGAATGGCGTCGTGGTTAGAACAACGGGCTGACTGGCTTCACACTGACAAGCCAGGGACTATGTTCTTGGTGGCCGGCATTTCCCGTGACAAAAAAAAACATCGTCAGGTCTGCCAGTGTGAGGCCGTGGCCAAACTGGTTGCGTAGTCATGGGGATGGGTCCCAGGGTGAGCGTGTATGTAGCGTGTAAGTGCTTTGTTTCTGTGACTAATAGCTAACCGCAAGATGGGAGGGTGCGAGGCGAGGGCCCAGCGAATTCTCACCATCACCACAGGCGGATCCAGCTTCGGGGACCTAGCTTGCTTGCAGTTGCCTACACCTAGACAAGAAGAACCCATGACAGATTTTGTATTCTAGCCTCACAGAAGACTGCCGTAACGTCAGAGAGCCCGAGTATGGCCTTGGCCGTGGACCCGGCCTCAGTGTGAGCGCCGGGGTGTTATCCCGTATCCCGCTCAGTAATAGCCCCATTTCCCTTCCCCCCCTCCCCCCTTCAAGGGCTTACCGGTACTTGCCACATTGCCCCCGAATGCCTAACGAGCGGCTCCACTTCACCGTTCAGCACTTTGCGGACGGACCCTTGGCCATTCAAGCAGAGCCTCAACGCCGATCTCGAATCGAGGACGTCCAGTATATGCCTCAAAGCAGTAATTCGACAAGCCACCGTCGAAGTCTGTCGGTCTCGAGCTCCAGCCAATGCCACGAGCGCGGAGGGCTCCAGACGCTGTAGCCAAGGCGTCCTGGTACACTGGTAATGCCCGAATTTGGGTCCCTTTGGCTCCGCTGCATCGATTATCTGCGTGCAGGTGGCTCCCCCCCCCCTCTCAACAGCCAATGTCTTTCGCAGACCGGCCCCCCCTCCCCTTCCTACCATCCATGATGCAGCGCGCATGAAGAGCTGTCTTCTCATCACCGTCATCTGTCTAACAGAAGAAACAAGTGGGAAAAAAGATACCCACACCGGATGCATGCATGCCCGCGGAGTGAGAAATCTCTTTTTTTGTCTTATTTCCCGCTGAGCCTCTGACTACCCAGTTCAGTAATTCGAAGCGGCGGTTCAGGTGATTTTTCTTTTCTGAAGAGAAGACACACAGGCCCTGGGCCAGGAGACTAGAAGGCAGACCATGGGTCTTTGCAAATCAGGGGCCAAATAGTGTGGTTTGCGTTTGGTTTCGGTCAGTCTGATAGTGGAAATTCGTCTCGAGAAAGGTATACCTCGGGACGCATTCTGATTGGCTGTGGCAAACCCGTGGTCGTTAGGTGCGACGTGTGTGTGTAGAGGATATAGAAAAGTATTAGCTAACATTGTCAGACATGTCCGAGGAGATGCTAGGGAGATGTTTGGCAGGACTGACGGTGGGCTCCTGTTTTCGACTGGTGGTCTGTGCAGTGTATTTTCCACCGTATGCGAGCATAGTCGGCCATCATGTCGAGATGGAACGTGGAAAACGGCGTTTGCTTAGTTTTGATTAGCGTTTGTGTGCAAGAGAGAAGGAAAGAGAGGAGAGACAGGAGATTACTCGATAAAGTTTGCATAGAGAGAGAGAGAGGTCCTTCACTACAACCTACTGCCACGTCAGTGAATTCCACCACATCAACCCCGTTAGCATGACTTGTGGGCTCCAAACTAAGATGACGATCCCTACTCATTGCACTTCCAAACAGAGTATCTCAGTGTTCCAGTGTAGAAAGCAGCAAACTCACCTCCGAGCCACTCACAGGGCGTCGAGGGCAACCGCACCTCGGAGCACTTGGACCGTTCCTCGCGTTTCTCCGCAACCTTCCTACTCCGGCAACTGGGCATCTCGAGGCGTAGAAAACTGTTGGAAATCGGCATTCGACACCGAGGCTTGCGTCTTGGGGATACCGGACTGCGCTTACCCACATAGGGGCAGCGGGCAGTGTCGAACCAAATGTCGACACGAAAGAACGCATGGGGAAACCAAGCGAGAGAGACGTCGTGTAGTCGGAAAATATGCAAGGAGCCAAGGGCTCAGGACATGGAACTCTACGCCGGACGGATCAGCATGCACTTGCCAGGGGGGGTCCCGAAGCGGGTATGCATGCTGCAGGCAAAGATGGTTTAGGTGAGCGGGATCTAATTGCCTTTGCCTCTAGCAAGGGTTGTAGTATTGGTAGTGGCCTGATGTATGTATTTCTACCGATACCCTTTGGTGTTGGGCAAGGAGATCTTGATGCAGGTTTTTTTTGGAGATATTGTTGCAACTCGGGGAGAAAGAGAAACGGAATTTTTTTTTTGTTACATGGGATGAGATGGAGGCGAAAAAGCCTTGTTAGACTATGTGGTCATGAATAATCATTTTGCGCATCACGAGGTGATAGGCTGTCAAGACGTCTTGCTACTATGGTTTTATCCTTGCGTTCCTTATCCGCGCGGGACGGGCCCGGACCAGTCACATGGCGGGTGTGGTGTAAGGATTGCGTAGTCCAGCCTTCAAGCTATAAAAACAGCAGAGCACATTACCTGCTAAATACCAGAAAAAAAGTCATCTTGCCGTACGGGTACCAAGACACGGCCTCAGTACCGGTACCGAGTCTCGAATTCTCGTTCTAGCGTCCCCAAGCCCCTCGGCCCCTCGGCCCCTCGGCGTTCATGGCGCTCTCAGGATGGCCGAGGATGATGGCCTGCCTGGCCCCAAAGGCACCGCAGCCGTCCTCGTCGTCGAGCGGAACCGTCAGGTCTCCTTCTCGCTCGCCTCCGCCCTCGCCCTCGCACCTGAGGAACTTGTCGAAGGCGGCGGTGCCACGGACGCTGCCCTTCTTGTCGTAGAAGTGAATCATGGTGCGCATGGCCTCGATCCAGCGCGCGCAGTCCTTGCACACGACCATGCCTCTGCTGACATGGGTGCGCCTGGTTGGCTCGGCACAGCGAACAGCAGCGAGCTGGTGGTCGGGCAGCGTGGCATAGTCGAGCTCGACGGTATACGTGTAGGAGCCGGCGCTGGAATCCGACTTCCTTGGCGCCGACGAAGCGGAGCGCCGAGAGCTCGTCGACGTGCTGGTATTCGACCGGGACAGCTGTCCACTTAGCGAGAAGAAACGTCGTGTTGACGGAGCGCGCTTGTGCTTGGGTGGCGACGAGGGCACTGTGGCTGGTGGAGATAGTGGTGGCGAGCCTGGTCCGCGGAGGTCGTTGAGCCGCTGGATGGCCGCGTCGCACAGTGTCCACGGGTGTTCATGCGACTCTCCAATGTGCCCGCAGCCGTTGTGCTGGCTGTAGTTGTGGAAACACATTGTCGCGGGCTGGGTGAGGTGTTGGCCTCGGATGACGTAATGCCAGGTTGGGGTTGCTGCGAGTAGCCGTAGCAGTAGTGCTGTGTGTCGCAGATAGAAGGCCCATCCAAGGGGTTTGTGGGGTTGGTTTTTTAGCCGTAGCAGCGGTGCCGCGAGTACCTGGGCTAGTGTAGTGAATGTCAGGTCTGTGACGGGTGAGCATGAGTGCTGTGTATTCCATGCGCGGCACGGATATAGCCTGGGATATATGCCTTCAGCCAGCGCCTAACGTGAGCCGTTGTCTCTGGCCAGCCACCGCCTGTGTTATGCCTTGATGCCCTGCTTATCGCGCGGGCGGCGAATGATTTGAGCCAGGAATAGGGCTGGTCACGTGCCATCATCGACATGGCAGGGCTCCATGCCGCCATGATTTGGCAGAGGCCCGACGCTGGCGGACATGGACGCGCTGACTAACGGCCCATGACTCCCAAGTCGCACGCCAGCTCCACATGGCGAGCTGCTAGATGGTTTCAGCCCTCGCTGTGCTGTACACACAGCTCCATCTTTTGTCGCGCAGTCCCAACGGCTTTGCGGTGTTTCTGCTGGCTCGGCGCGAATCATTGCGCCTGGTGTTGGCAAGGCTGGACCAATGACGTCACCGGATTCAACCCCGGCAAAGGACCGACGCCCTCAACAGATGGGCTAAGCACTTTGAGTATTCCGACCGTGGCAAACTGGAGGGCGAGATGATAATGGATACACAGCCGAGAAGAGGGTATATGAATAGCAGTAAGACGTCATGCAGCATTGCGCAGGGACAGGTCCCTTACTGATACCGGCGCCTAGCTGTACGTGTGTGTACAGCCCAACCGCAGCACCCCAACATGTCTCGCACCGTCATCCCTCCCCCAGCGACGCACCCCTTGTTTCAGCCTATTCCTAGCCATCCAAGAGTCCACGTGCCTTTCGAACACTTGTCCTCGTCTGATAGCTCGTCTTGACAATCTTGGAGATGAATGCTTTTTGGGTATTCCACGTCATGTGACATGCAATTCACGCAGCTGCTTCTCCAAGACGCCTTGCTTAACGGGTACAAGCTGGTATAATTGCTAATACTTGTATACAAGATGTTGGTGTAGGATTCACTGCCCACCTGTCAAAGTCCGTCTGACTCACACATCAAGCAAGGAAATGCAGTCCACGACCCGAAAACTCTTCACCGTCATTCCAGCCCCATGCTAGAACACCAGGGAATATACAGCAAATACGCATAACAGGCCTCAATATGCCCAGATGAACAGAGTCATCGTCTCCTACATGCATACCACTCCAGACCCACCCATTCAGACCCTGCATGAAGCAGCACGTGCTAAAAGTGTGAACTCCAGATAACCATGTCACTCCGCCACCGTACCACGACTGCTATAGATATACCGCAAACCAACCAAGTTCCGCGAATACCTTATCTTCGAAATCACACACAAAACCTTGTCCACTTTACTATGCATACCACACCACCTCACCCGCCAATCCCATCAAACCATGTTGAAAGTTTTTTTCTTGCCTAGATGCGGGGCATCATGCTAAGCCCCCCCGCCCAAGCAGCCCAAAGCAACAAGCTTTGATTTAGCGCCCAGACAAGCCAATCTCGAGGTACAGCTACATACATGTATGGCTATGTATCGGCAGTGTATCTGCAGATTGTGTGGGGAAGGCCCGGCCGCGTAATCAATGTGGGACCTGTGCCTGTGCCTGTGCCTGTGCCTGGTCTGCCGAGCTGCAACGACTCCAGCCGAGGTTCCAAGACACACTGTGGTCACCAGGTAAGACTAGGTTTTGCTGGATTTGAGTCACGGCGGTAGGCGGTGGAGAGATTGGGGTGGGGTACAATGAAGAATGCATCGTTGGGGGTGATGGAAGACTTGAGAGGGCTTTAGCATAAGCGGGGCGGATGTATTGAGACATCTATCTTCTTTGTAGTTATTCATGAGTATCTTGGCTATGTATATGGTTTTGAAGGGGTTATATGTGATCCACGGGTCTCTGCGATTAGTTTCCTATGTAGCTTTGCGCGGGTGGAAATGGGCAATGTGCTAGGACTTATCATAAGCTTTGACCAACGTCCAAATCAAGAAAGTGTAGACAGCTCTCTAATATGCAAGAAAGCTGATATCATTGTTAGTAGCGATTGTAAAGATGGGTTGTGACTGAAGATAGGCAATTCCCCACCTGCAACTTGTGTTCCTGAAATCTTCACAACACCATTCTCACGGGCGAGGATATGGAGTTTGGTGAAAATCCAATAAAACAACATTGTAAATGTTAATAGACTGAGTAAATGACGTACTAGACGAACCGAAGCCTACAGCCACAACTGTGGTACTGTAGGTGCTGCCCGCCTCCACACTCACCGTGGCATGTACCCATCACCCAACAGGACAGCCCACCTGAGACCGTCACGAAAAAACATCAGATCCTCCAATATTATCGCCCTAGACCTGTGGCGTTGTTGAGAAGCAGAACATTCGCCATCAACCATCAGCCGAGGCGAGGCGAAGTCTGCTGTGGCGCTTATCAGCAACAACGCGCCCGCCCTCGCGTTCTCTACTCGATGCGTAGATGATGTTACATGGATTAACTACGCGATCAGCCCAAGTCGCTTTGACATCCTTCCCAGGCTGCCATGAAACAATTCAGATATTTCATCATCTAAATAAACACCTCGCGATCAGCCATGGATAGCAAATATTGCCCTTTTGGGGTGCACTAGGCATGCACAGGCGTCCAATCACAGGCGCGTCTTCCGCGCCCCCAGAACGGGTAAGCCAGCGCTAGCGACAAAGCGGTAATTAATGCTACTACTACGAGTCTTTCCAAAGGAGAGGCCTGATGACCGCTTCAGCAAACACTATTGCTTCTCCCCCCTAATCCAGCATTTTTCACGATGGACCACGCCATGGCACAGCTTAGATGCATGCTCATGCTGCTTGAAAAGTCAGCTCTGAACTTCGATTCAGTGAAAGTGTCCGGGCGCTTCCAACGACACGGCGTGTGTGATATCTATATATAAAGAAAGGATCAGACGGTCAAGACAATGCCTTTGATATCATCTCCATCAACACTCGTACTTCCCTCTATCAAACAACACAGTCTGATTCACCACTGGAAACCCCCACAATGTCCATAACCATGCGCAAAGTCGTCATCTCTAGCTACGGCGACCACTCGGTCGTCTCGATCGTCTCGGCCCCCATCGCCGCCCCATCCAAAGGCGAAGTCCAAGTCAAAGTCCTCTACTCGGGCATGGGCGGCGCCGACATCCTCATGCGCCAAGGCATCTATCCGATGCAGCAAAAAGCGCCCCTGACCCCCGGCTACACCTTCATCGGACGCGTGACGCAGAACGGGGCCGGCTGCAAAAAACACGCAGTCGGCGCTCTCGTCGCCTGTCTCAGTGTCTACAACGGCCAAGCCGAGTTGGTCAACCAGCCCGAGAAATACCTGATTCCCGTGCCCGAGGGCCTCGACCTCCAACAAGCCGTTGCACTTATCCTCGACTGGAGCACCGCGTACGGACTTGCGTTCCGCGCTGCGAATATCAAAAAGGGCCAGCGCGTCTTCATCCACGGGCTCAGCGGTAGCGTGGGCTCCGGACTCCTGGCGCTGTGCAAGATGCAGGGCGCACATGTATACGGGACTGCGTCTGCTGCGAACCACGCCGCCGTGCGGGCTGCCGGCGCCACGCCCTTTGTGTACAGCGACAAGCAATGGATGCATGCGATGCAGCAGCTCGGCGGCGCACACGTCGTCTTCGACGCGCTAGGCTTCGAGTCGTGGGACGAAAGCTTCGCCATCTTGTCTGCGGACCACGGGCTGCTCGTAGGATACGTACGGCGGCAACCTCGACTCGCTCAACGGCGCCAAACCGCGGAGCCAAAACATGCATATTGCAAAGCTACTCGCGAGGGGGCTCGTCCCGTTTTGCCCTTACAGAACATCTTTCTTTTACATCCATCGCGACCAGAAGACGCATAGGCCTGAGGTCGAGATGCTGCTGCAGATGCTGGCGAGGGGTGAGATCCGTGTCCCGATTCGCAGGGTGTGGGCGCTGCATGAGGTACCTGAAGCGCATCGTGTGTGGGTGAAGGAGCCGGGCGTTGGGGCCGTGGTGATCAAAGTCTCTGATGATGAAAAGGCATGAAGGATCAACTATGTAAGACAGAAAGCTGGCGTGGTGATATGTGGTAGTCAAGACATCAAGTTTTCGCACATGTTTCTTCATTCTCGTAGACTTCTTCTTCTTGTAAGATACAAGTTCAGGATATTACCGATTTCTTCTGCCCTTCGATATGTGTGCAAGACGAATCCTCGGAGCTGATCGAGTCGCCATCAGTCCTCGAAGCAGTCAGCTACTCGTCACCCAAAGAGGCATTGGGCTGTCCGTTGTTCTCCTCCTCCTCGTCGTTCTCCTCGCTTCCCTCAACACTGTTCGCCAGAGCCCAGCGCACCAGCTCGTCCTTGGACTGCTGGTCCAACAGCATCTGCATCTCGCGGTCGTACGTTGGCTTGCGGGCCTGGATCTCTTTCAGTTGCTTCTGAAGCTCCTTCTCGCGCTGCAACTCCTTCTGCTTCCGGTTCTTCAGGCGGCGGTACTGGTGGTAGGGCTCCTCGCCGTCGGCTTTGCGCTTGATCCCGCTGAGAACATCGGTGAGAGGCGTAAGGCCGCGCTCGCTGCGTCCCAGCGCCATGTCGTGCCTGCCCTTGGAGATGACTGACTGGGCGTCGCCGTCGTCGTCAGAGTCGATGGGATCCGTCTCTTTCTGCTTACCCTTGCCCTTGTACTCGGTGCTGGGCCCCGGCGCATAGATGTCAGGGAGCTCTGGATCCGGGCTCGACTCGATGACCTGCTCAGCGCTATTCAATGCCGCCTTGCGAATGGCGTCCTTGTCCAGAAGCGGAATCTGGTCGTCGTCGAGCGAGACGTCGTCAAACGGGCCTGGGCCATGGCAATCCGGAATGACCTCGACACCACCTGCAAGTGAAAATCAGTACTCGGTGGAAAGAAAAGAATTGTGATCACCAGGCTTACCCTTCTTCTCGTACGCAGTGTAGATGGTGCCGACAGCCGAAAGCAGCACCTCCTCGGCAGTCAGCAGGCTGACGGGGAACACCTTGCTGACCTTGCCCGTATACAAGTAGATGTACTGAACAAAGTGCGAGAGGTGGCGAATGCTCTGCACGAGGTTCTTCTCCTTGAAGACTTTGAACGGGTACATGAGCGCCATCTCGGAGAGTTCCTTGACCGCCAAAGACAGCCCGTTGGACATCTCGTTGTAGAAGATGACTTCGGACCCCTTGTGAGCTGAGACGGACCAGTACTTGAGCAGAGCCCAGGTTCGGCGCGTGGCATTTTGACCCAGAAACAGCTTCTCGGCGTGTGTGTTCTTGTCTTTCAAGTGCAGAGTGCCAACTGCGCCGAAGACAAAGTCATCGACGGGTGGAAGCTGATCGAACTTGAACGTGACTCCGTTGGACTCAATCAGAGCATCCAGCTGGACGAGTTGGCCCATTGGTCTGGTTGGCATCTGCGTCGAGGTTGCCGTCGGCTGCGCGTCTTTCTTGTTGCGCGCCATGTCTGCTTCTGACTGGGTTTGGATCTGGTTCGCAGTGGATAGTGATCAGTAAAACTTTTCAGCTTGGAGAATTTCATCAAAAAGCAACTTTCAGATTGTTTTGGCTGCTACCAGTGCGCAGATAGCAGTGGCGAGCGACTAAGAACAATCTTGACAGACGTACCTTCAGTGAGCTGTAGTTGTGACTGGATCTTGGAGATGGTTGTTCTGAGTGGAGGATTAGAAGCAAAGGTGGTAAAGAGGGATTTTTGTTGTGTTTATATACAAGGCGGAGTGCGCGTGCGCGTAGGGGTGGGGCGAAGAGTGAGGGTGAGGGTGAAGGTATTTTACCTTCACCCCCACCCTCAAACTCGAGCTACAAAAATATTTGCGAAAACTCTGCTCTCCGGGTCAGCCGCAAACGCTCCTTTTCTGCGCATTCGTGTCACAAGGAGAGTGAGTACGTCCGCGTGACTGGTTGATTTCTAGTCGCCAGGCTTTGCAAGTGTATTTCATTACTTTTCGACGGTCTATTCCAGATCCCCTTCGCCTCTTCACTGCTGGGGTATTCTCCTTATGAAATGAGACAACCTGCGTCAAGGTGGAGCCAAAATTAAGAAGAAAGATGCTTCGTGACTATGACGAGAATTAAAGATAAAAACCAGACTCAATCATACAACTATCGTTTCCTATCTCGTATCATAACAACAGAACCCTTATTAAGAAGTTAGAAATCATTACCTTATCCAACCCCCTCCAGCTTTCAAGTTCTCGGAATCTTGTTCGGAACATGCTCATCATAATACAGCGTCTCCCCACTCCTACCGCCCTCATACAACCCAAGCGCCAACTTGGCCACAGCATCGCCGCACAGCTCTGGCGGCTCAATCATCCCCTCACCTGCATCATCCCAGATCCTAAATCTTTCAATCTCATGGACCGCCATTACCCCATTATACTTGCCTTCGACCAGCCCATCAATCATCTTGGTCCGCGTCAACCTCGGATACACACCTTGGACGCTGAGCAGCGGCTCTTCGTGAGCAAGACACGAAATGAAGCGGGTGAGCGCAGCTTTAGCCATGCTATAGGGCATCCAGCCATGATACGACACGGTGCTATCGCAGGCCGAGGAGAGAATAATAACCTTGCCGCGCCCATAGTTATGTGGGTGGGAAGCTCTCGAAGCACGGAGATGCGGTAGAGCAAGTTGGACCTGCAAAGTCTTCTTAGCATGACTTTTGATTTGCGAATTGGACGAGAGAGCATATAGATTGCTTGGATAAACGAAAATACAGCATACCATGCTCATGGCCCCAAAAACATTAACATCAAACGTCCTCTTTGCAGCTTCGATGTCTAGCTTATCTAGCCTCTGGATCGGCGTAATGATGCCCGCGCAGTAGACCAGTGTGTCGAGGCCGCCAAACACATTGAAGCAGGTTCGCACTGCGAGTTCTCGGTCCTCCTCGAGCGTGACATCGCCCTCGACGATGCGCAGCCGCTCTCTCTGCAGTTTGCTGAACTCGAGTTTTATGCTCGAGTCGATGAGGCCAAAGGCGATTACTTTGGTGTTGAGGGGCAGATAGGGCGCAGAGAGAATGGCCTGGGTTATTGCATAGCCAATTCCGGAGGTTCCGCCGACTACGAGGACGACTTGGGGTTTTGACGACATGGCGAGAGGGAGCTGGAGAGAGAAAACGACGTGCACCTCTGTAGCTGAGAGGATCAGCAAAGTAACTTTAGCGTTCCAATGACGTGAGGCATGTGAAGGTGCAGAGCTTGTGCGTATTGAGACACCGGAAGTGGAGTCGTGCCCCGCGCTAAGGCCCGAATAGGCAAAATTCAGAGAAAGGCCGCGTTTCCGTCTATCCGACTGAAACTTCTGGCACAAAGTCTTGTGCGCGCATGAATTTTATCGAATGTGTATCTGCATCTATAGGTTGGGATTCTCATCCTGTCCCTCCTATCCTATCATTCCCTCCTCCATGGCCTTGATCTGTAATGCCAGGATCCTGCTATAGTACCTAGACAGGGCCAGGTTGCCGCCCATGAACCAGAGACCAGGATGGCCACTCTTCTGCCACATGGTCCTGAACTCTCCCTCGTTGTTGAAGCCCCAGACCTCACTGACACGGTCCGCGACTTCATCGCCGAATATCTTGCGTGCCTGTGTGCGCATGTTCTGGTACCCGGTTGCAAATACAATCTCATCGGCCTCTAACTTGTCGCCATCAGCAAACTCAATGCCATTGGGCAGGACTTGGGAAATCTCTTGGCCATGCTTGATCTTAATCTTGCCGTCAATGATGAGCTGGGATGCCCCGACATCAATATAGTAGCCTCCTCCGCGCTGAAAGTACTTCATCAGCAGGCCCGACTTCATGGGGCCCTCGTCGAGGCCAAAGCCGGCTTTACGCAGGCCATCAAGAATCTCCTTGTCAAAATCTGCCCCAGCCTTCGATACCTTCACTTGTATCAGCTTCATCAGCTCACTTGGAATACTCCAAAAAGTGAGATCGGCATCTTCGGTTGGCGGCGCATCTTCCTCATAGGTCCCCTTGTTTGCAATATCTGTGATAGCCGTCGAGGAAACCACGCAGGTTGTGCTGCGCTGAACCATTGTGACGTCGTAGCCTTTCTCAAAGAAGTCTTGCGCAATGTCATGTCCGGAATTGCAGCTTCCTACGACTATTGCCTTCTTGCCTTTTGATTCTGGATTTGCGCCTGGGTGCTCAGAGCTGTGGCACAGGCGATCGCCCTTGAAGGTTTCCATACCCTTGATTTGAGGAAAGTTCTTCTCGCCCGAATGGCCCGTCGCCTGCACAATGTGTCGTGGGTGCAGCGTTCGCGTTTCGATAGTTCCATCTGCTTTCTTGCGCTCAACGGTTACCGTCCATTGCTTCTTACTCTCATCCCACGAGGATGATTTGATGCTTGTCGAAGTCCACACGTTGAGCTCGAGGAGGTTGACGTATGCTTCAAAGAACTCGGCGAGCTTGTCTTTTGGAGTGAACACTGGCCAGTGCGCTGGAAAAGGCACGTATGGCAAGTGGTCGTACCACACGGGATCATGAAGAACGAGTTGCCGATAGCGCTTGCGCCAGTTGTCACCCACTCTTTCATTCTGGTCTATCATGAGCGCGGGAACACCGAGCATCTTCAGACGAGCAGCGACTGTAAGCCCGCCTTGGCCAGCTCCCAGAATCAGCACCCTAGGATCAATGCCTTCTTTCTCGGCATCCCGCATCTCTTTCCATGTCTTTCTGTTAGGGTCACCGCCGTGCTTGACGCCTTTTGTTCTGCGATGGTTGAGAGGCTCCTCGTGGCCCTTGAGCTCCTTCAGTAAAGTGTAGACGGAGAAGATCTTCCACTGTCCATTGTCTTCGGCCAGGTATATGACGCCCTCACCACGGCCCACGCTCGTCTCAAACGTGATGAAAAAGTTGATACCCTGGACGTCACCGAGAAGATCAATGGCACCAAATTTTGGAGACCGGTACTCAGTGGTCTTGCTCACTTGCAGCTTCGTCAACTGCACTTTGCTGGAGTCGAGGTATTGCTTGATCGCAGAGCTGCCCTTTACTGTCCTGAGCTCCCAGGTCAAGGCCAAGTGATCTCTCCAATAACTGTTCTCGCAGAACAGGCCCGCAATGGCTGCATAGTCTTTCCTGGAGAGAGCATCGTTGAGGCGGGCAACTACCTCATCGGCGATCTTGACGGCATCGACAGACTTGTTGTTTGACGAGGCTGGAAAGACTCCGAAAGGAATGTTGACTGATCCAATCTCGGGCCGCTCGCTCGAAGGAATAGAAGCATCGCCTACACCCATGTTGTAGCTCGTGGCGGCGTAAAGAGGTGCACCGAATAGACTTTGCGATATGGACTGGTAGTGCAGCTTCTAGGAGCGAAGGCTGGAGGGGCACAGGCTGCGTAAAAGGCAGAACAAGTGAGGTCAGCTCGTATCGAGAGCATGGACGCCCGGCTCGGTACAGTACATAATAATGGTTGATCGTATCTCATTCATCGACGTGCTGCCGCCAGAAGCGGAACAGACACAGTAATGGTCGGTCTCGGCCAAGTTTCCGAGAAGCCAAGGTGCGGGGGAAGTGGCGATGCTCCGGGGAAGCAGCTACTGCCCCTCTGCCTATGCTTCTTCATCGGTCCGGCACCCCCACTCTCGCCGATTTTCGCTCAGCCTTGAGCCTTGATCTCTCAGCCCACCAGCCGTTGAAATGGATTATAACGAACCCAATATCCATCTCTGAATGTCGAGCACGCCGCAAACAGTCTACCAAGTCGTTCACCGTTCCGGCAACAGCCGCGGCTAAAGGGTTTGGCCAGAACATAGTCCCCAGCAAACTATGCGTCCACTTGTCCCGTAAGCTTAGAATGATTGCATGCCACTTCATCACTGCAAGCATCATGCGAGGCCGACCTTTTCCCCGGATTACCAGAAACAGACATGCCGAGTCAACATCCAGCTAGTCTGACGGTGCCGATGGCTATGGCAATAGCGTGGCGCTGTTGGGGTTACCCCGAGCATCTGGACATGGACCGAAGAAGCAAAGAAGACCGAGCTATACTTGAGCAGATATGGCGCGCAATCAAGGCTATGGGGTGGCGATGGCTTCGAGCATGTTTCCTAGAATGGACTGGGATGAGATCTTGAGCTAACAGGCCAATCCAGCATTTCACGGGCATTCTAGAAACATATCCAACAGGACAGGGCAATGCAAGATCGATGATGTCAGCCTACTCTCGCTAGGAAAGCTTCCCTCACACAACCTGGATGCATTCTGATCCGAACAAAGATCGACTTTGATCAAGGCTCGGGGGAGCAGCTTAAAGTTCTCATTTTCTACTGAACTCAAGTACTAGCTTTGGGTTAAAATCTGACGTGAGCGCGATCAAATGCCAGCAAACTCTCGCGTCATGATTTACTCGATTTACTACCTATTTGCGCCACAATGCAACTCAATATACGGAGGTGACTGTCAAAAGTTCTTGCTAACAGGGGTGCATTAATTACCGCCGAAAATAGGGCCAAAGCTATGTAATTAGTCCCGCTACCCCTCTTTGTACTTATTACTACCTTTAAGTTTAATAATTTCTTAAATATAAAATAAAATACGCTCTATCTAAGCTTAAATTTAGTATTAAAGTAGCTTATTTTAGTACTGTTACTATACTTTTATCTCTTTTACTTAACTTTTTAGTACGCCTTTTTATGTTATCTTTCTTTTAAGCTATAGCTAGGCTACTTTAATAGCGTTAAAATTAGGTAAATTACTTAGCTATAGGAGCTACTCTACTTTAATATCTTAGTATATAGTTCTTTAAGCGTAGTAAGTATATAAAAGTAATTTATCTTCTTAAATAAAAACACGTAGTCTCTCTTTTTAGCACTCTTTTATAAGAAGAATTAGCTTGAAAATAAGAACTTAAGTTTAGTAATACTACTAATTAATACTACTATTATGCTAAGGCACAGATTCACCATAACCCTTATGCTAACTAAGCACTACTTACTTTTAAGAACAAATATAAATTAGTAGTTAAGTCTAAAGGAAAAATTAATTAACAATATCTTTTAGAAAAATCTTTTGCTTAAAGAACTAACTATTTGTATTTTACTTGTTTTTCTCTCTCTTATAGCTTATAAGAAAAGGAAGAGCCTATAGTTCTATTCTTTTTACTAAGATAATATTATAATTCTATACTATACCTTTATAAATAGTAAAGCCTAAAAGGCTACTTTTAACTCTTTAGTAGATAAATTAGCTAATACATATAAATAGTAAAGATAAAAAAGATAGTAATACTACTTAGAGTAGTAGTAGAAGTGCTTCTAACTTTAAAAAAAAAGAACTAAAACCTATTACGAAAGGAAGAAATATGGTTTAATTAATTTATTTCCAGTAAGTAAACGTGTATTATTAATATAACAACTAAACTAGTTTAAAAAATTTTAAGTAAAAGATAAGAAGATTTAAAATTAGGTCTATTAAGAAAGAAATACTAATTTAAATAAACTAAGCTAGTACTTATTGTAAGGGGCTGCGCTCCGGGGAGCAATCGCGAGGTATACAAGAGGTTGTATTCGATAGAGAGCTATAGAGTCTACTTGCGTGGTGTTTATTTACTTGTCGGAGAAAGGTTGCACCGAGTGTCTGAGCGCGTCGTCTGGGGCGCCGCTC